CTAAACAAAACAAATTTTCTAACACTTAATTTGAGTAACTGTTCCTGATTCTTCATCCTACTATTGCCATTTATCCATAATGTTGTTTCTGAAACAGCTTATACTTTCTCCCTACTCAATGCCCATTTTCTGATTCTTAGATATATTGCTCATTTTTCAATTTGATTTTGAGGGCTTTTTTGGTTTCAGTTCTGCGTTTTGAACTGGGAATAGTTATCCAAGTTTATTTTATGTCTATAATCATAATATTTAGTGATCCATTATTATGCAAGATCCCAGCTGCACAGGAGCAATCCATGTCTGGAGCTATTGGGTAACTACACATGCTTACAAAAAGGCATTTGCTAGCCGGCAAGGAAAGGCACTAAAAGCTGTGCTTTTAATGTATATGTTTCTCACACTTGGAATTGGAGTGCATGTGACATGTCATGTGTTCAATCTGTCTGCAGCAGTTAATATGTTTTGGGAAAATAAAATACGTAAAAATATATTTAACCAATAAAGACAAACAGTTTTTCAATGCACAGTGTTTCTCAAAAGAGACAAAACTGTGTTTATTCAGTATAACCAAATATCCTGAGACATGTTTTGTCAGAGAAATTGTTTCAAGCTATTTACTTCAAGTGTGAAAGAACTTCTTAGAGAGAATACACATTATCTTGGACTATGCCTCTTCCGAATTTCAGTAATAGCTGAACTGTGTTGAAAACATCTTTTCAGTAATCATACCTGTTTAACAAAATACAGATGGTAAAATTGATGGTAAATACAACTTTGTTTTAAGATAAATTAAGTACATTTAGTTATATGTGCTGAAATAATTAATTCTTTCTATAAGTAGAGCCTATCATATCTGATACCTCAGAAAGGCCTTTGCCTTGCTGTACAGCCACATGCTAGGCTTTCTTAACTTGATTTCCAGAGTTTGTACTCTGACAATCTAAAACTGTAGAGTCCAGTGTGTTCATAGGAAAGTCAGTCAGGAAAGTTAAATTGGCATAAATAAATTATTCTTTCAACCTTTTCCAACACCTGCCTGTCCCAGTTGTATAAATGATCCAAACTTCCAGTTCTGTTCTCAGTTATTTCCAGATATTTGCTGATTCTTGTTGATCTGGCTATCTCTAAAAATACATTTATTGCCAAAGCATGTGCCTAGTTCTGTCTGTTTAAATAAGATCATAAAAAAGCTAAAATTATACATTTCCAAAACTCTAGTTCTGTGGAAACCTGTAGGGTCCTTACTGATGAGCAATAACCATTGTGCATGATTATTGCAATAGCATGTAAATCTACTGAAAAAAGAGCAGAAATATGAAGAGCCTATGGGTTTCCATCAACAGAAAAGAGAGCACGGTACCATTTCTATTGGAAGTATCAGTAAAATTACTATAGGAAAG